AGACTGTGTGGGGCTCCTTGTCCTTCCTGGCGCCTGCTCCAGTCCATCTGTCCCCATCCTCAGGATCTCCCTGACTGGGATGAAGATCTCACGCCCAGACATCCGAATAGGCCGCTACCGCATGATCAAGCACGACCGGGACAAGCATAATGAGCCCAACCCTCAGAGGTGACCCCCCAGCACCCTGATCCCAGGTGTCCCTAATCCCTTACTCCCTAGAGGTGACTTCTTAGTATGCCTGAGTCTCGACCCCAAGTGTCCTCAATCCCTGACCCTCTAAAAGTGGCTTTGACCCTGGAGAGGTGACCTAGAGGCTGCAGATCCGTGACTCCTGACTCTAGCACGCCTTGTCCTCCACCCCCAGATAGCTCTCACCCCTGGCCTAATTCCTAGAAGTGACCAGAATTTAGAGTCAGGCTTCAGATTGTCCTTGAGTAATTACATTCCCAGCCAGGTGTGGTGGTGCATGCCTGTAATCCCAGCACTGGGGAGGCTGAGGCACGAGGATCACTGTGAGTTCAAGGCCACCCTGAACCACATAGTGAGTTCAAGACTTAACAGTGAGACCTGAACTAAACAGCGAGACCTTGTCTCAAAAAACTGAAAAAAAAAAAAGTAATTACATTCCCATCAGTGCCTTTGAAGACCTCACTTGTGTACCTAGGGTGACCTTGGCTTATCCTGGCCTTACCAGAGCAGATGGGATGAAAGAATGTATGCTAGGGCACAGCTCCTGAGGACCAAGAAAAGTGGCCCAAACAGTGCAGGGCAAGGAGTGGAAAGGCAGTACCAACCTCTCTGAGACTGGAGGAGGCAACTCCATCTCTTAGGAGGCAGCCACATTTGCTTTTGGGCTGGCTGGGAGAAGGGCCAACGGGCATGTGAAATTCTGACAAGGACTTCCCGATGCCAGTCCTTCTGAGGCTGGGAGACCCAGAGCAGCCATACCCAGTCCCTGCCCTCCCAATCCCTCATGACGCTCATTCTGGGCAAGGAGACAGGCAGTTAGAGCACAAGGTGAGGAGAGCAAGGTGCTGTCTTGGCAGAGGAGGCTTCCTGGAGGAGGTGAGGGCAGCCTGGAGTTTGAAAAGTTATTATTCCACAAATTCTTGTCTCACTCCTACCTTGGGCACAGTGCTGTATTCACCAAGGCTAACGGGGAAGGCCACTGTAGATGAAGGAAATGTATTTGTAAGTCTGAAATGTGAACATGGGTGGCATATACTGAGACTCTTAAACTTTTTTTTTTTCCTAGTACTGGAGATTGAACTAAGGGCCTTCATGCTGAGCTACATCCCAGACCTTTTATTTTATTTTGAGCCAGAGTCTTAATTAGTAGCCCTGGCTGGGCTCAAACTTCTGATCCTCCTGCCTCAGCCTCCCAGAGTGCTGGGACTTTAGCTATATACCACCACTCCTAGCTGCTTTGTTTTTTTGAGATAGGGTCTCATGTAGTCCGAGCTGCTGTCAGACTCACTCAGCTCCCAAGTGCTGGGTTACAGGTATGCATCACCATACCCAGGTTAAACCTTTGGTTTTAAGATAGAAGGCTGGCAGTAACAATAGGAGGCAGTCAGTGCTGGGTATTTAGGGTCTTGAGTACAAGATTGGGAGTTTAATCTTTGACTAGAGGGAACAGCTTTGAGGAGTGAATGGCAGGATCAGATTTGTGTTTGGAAGGCTTGCTCTTAAGAGGTCAAGGAACATAAAGGGCTGGCCTAGCGGCTGGGTGGAGCCAGAGATGTAGCCCAGGCCTGAAGGGACTGATAGTGACGGTGGGGCAAGGACCTACGGGGCTCTTATGCCCCCTGTTTAGTCAGCACAGCTTTCTGCTCTGAACCCAGGATGTAGGAGTAGGGGCTAGATTGCAGTACTGATGCAGGATTGGAGATGGGCAGAAGTGTGGGACTCTAGAGTCCTGGAAGCTGAGATACAGAATGGGTTCAGATAAAAAACCATGGTCGGGCTGGGGATTTAGCTCAGTGGTTTTGCTGTCTGCTGCGCAAGGACCTGAGTTTGATTCCTGGTACAAAAAAAAAAAACATGGTCAAGCTGCACATGGTAGCACACACTACAGTCCCAGCACTCTAGGAGGCTGAGGCAGGAGGATCCCGAGTACAAGGCCAGCCTGGGCTGCATACTGAATTCAAGGCCAGCCTGAATTACTTAGTGAGACCATCTCAAAAGTAAATAGGGCCAGGGATTTATTTAGCTCAGTGGTTTTGCCGCCTGCTGTGCAAGCGCAGGGACCCAAGTTTGATCCCCAGTACCAAAAATAAGTAAGTAAATAAATAATTTTTAAAAAATTAAAAAGGGGGATAGGGTTGTAGCTCAATGCAAAGGCTCTGGATTCACTCCCCAGCACCACAAACAAAACAAAACAAAAACTGGTCAGCAGAGAAGGATTACATCCTGGGGAAGAGTGACTGAGAGTGGAATACTGGGAGGGCTCAGGAGGGGTCTGAGCTGAGCTCAAAAGGACTGGGAGGGTCTGACAGTTGGGGTGAGGGTGGGAGTGGAGCTCTTACAAGTACTTCTCAGAAGCCTTGGTCCTGTTACAGAAATAGCCTGTCTGGATGTCTTCACAGTAGTGATGTCTGCTTGGCTGTGGAAATGGCCAGACAGCAAGAAAGTCCTAGTTTAAGAAACTCAGGGCTGGGGATTTAGCTCAGTGGTTCTGGTGCCTGCCTCGAAAGAGCAAGGTCTCGAGTTCGGTCCCTGGTACCGAAAAAAACCACAACACCATTCATCTGCAAGAAACTCAGGATGGGAATTCTGTCTACCTGGCTGCCTTTTAAAGTTTTTCTTTTTTCTTTTTTTTTTTTTAAAGTTTTTCTTTTTAAAAAAACTTTATTTGAGGTTTATAATAATGTTATAGGATACATACTACTAGTTGCTTTTTCCTCAAATCTAATTTTTAGATTCTTTATCTCAGTCTGCACATCCAAGTCATCAGCAAGCCCATGTCCCCTCAGATACATGTGAACCTATCTGCTTTTGCCATTCCCTACCTTTATTCTAGTCCACCTCTCAGTCTCACCTGGTCTACTGCATGGGTTTCCTTACTTCCTCCTTCCCCTTCTGTAGCCCATGTTGCCCCCCAAAACTGGGCTAAGATTCCCTCAGTGCCTTCTCACTCAGAGAATAAAATATGAACTGCTTACTCTGACGTGCAGAGCTCTGCTCATGCTTGAACTTCTAAACTCATCTTCCTGCTTCCTCCTTGGCCTTTGGAGGTCTAGCCATGCAGCTGTGCTTCGGGGAAGCATGCACTCTGACCTCTGCCTGTGATCCTCCTGCCCTGCTCTTAGCTGGGTCATCACACTCCCTCCCAGGCAGCCATCTTGCCCCCTTAACACTCCGACATTCCCCTTGCCTGCTTTCTCTCTCCCCTGGTGAGGTGGACTTTCTCTAAGAGGAAGGATGGATGCATCCCTGGTGCCCAGAGTACAGCCTGGCTAACAGGGAAGGAGTGACTAAAGGACAAGGAACACAGAAGATGGTGCAGGTTGGGGAGTAATAGTGATACATCGGGTGTGGGACACATTGCATTTGAGGTGCCTCATGTCTGAGTCGAAGGCTTGGAGGTCTGAGCTGAGGGACTTGTGAGGGTATCACAGTTCTGTTTTCTGAAGGAAGGGGCTGAGATCTCTGATTTGGGAGCAGATCCAGGAGTAAAGGGCTACTGCTGAGTCACCCCTGGAAGGAGCAGGAGGGCTCGATCCTTGGGCCCAGAGATTCCGTAGTGAGTCTGGATGTTAGCCCTCATGCGGACCCATTTCCATCCTCCAGGTTTACCAAGATTCAAAACACGAAGCTGACCATGAAGCGGGACGGCATTGGGTCAGTGCGGTACCAGGTCTTGGAGGTGTCTCGGCAGCCGCTCTTCACCAACATCACAGTGGACATTGGGCGGCCCCCGTTGTGGCCCCCCCGAGGCTGACACTATTGGACTGAGGTGCTTGGTGCCAAGGATTGCCTGTCAGAGGACTGACTCACAGCCTGGCTGGCGCTGCTCTGGGAGCCCACTGAGATGGGCTGTTTTCTGAGGGTCTTCAATAGACCTGCCAGCTGCACCCAGACGTTTCAGAACCCACTTTGAGGGGCTTGTGGCTTGGGCAGGCCCCTCAAGTGTGGCCCTCTGGGATCAACCCTTCTTCCTGCCCTAATTCCCCGAGCCCAGTCCCCCTCACTGTCAGGGTCGGGCCAGCCCCTGCACTGCCTCGCGAAGTGGCTTGGACTAGGTCACTTCACCTCTCTGTGCCTCAGTTTCCCCCCCAAGTCCCCTAGGGCCTGGAAGGTTGGGAGGTATGACCAGGGGGCAGTGTCTCTTCCAGAGGGAATTCTCAGACCTGGGAATCCCCCATGCTCCCAGGGGAGGGGAAACCTTTTTCATTGCGCGTCATAGGGGGTAGTCTGTGGTTCGACCCCTGCTGAGGAGCAGCCCCAGAAGGGGACCAGAGCTGGTGCTGTGTTGCTGCCTGGGATCTTGGGGTTGGCCTTTGCATGGGGGTGGGGGTGGGGGGTGGATCACTCTGTCTGATCCCCACCTCCCTGTCTCAGAGGAGGCAGAACCCCAGGGCCGGCTCCTGTTTGTACATTGCACAGAAACTTGTGTGGGTGCTTTAGTAAAAAACGTGAATGGAGCAGGTCCCTGAGTGTATTCGTGGATGAGGATCCTGAACCTACTTCGCAAAGTAGTAGGAGGGCACCTGACCCGGGGCGTCCGGATTTTCCCAAGCTTTGGGATGCCCTAAGGGCAAAAGTTTACTTTGCTGCCGCCACCCAACCCCCTCACCCACCCCGGCAGTGGAGTCAACGAAGTAATAAACCCAGTGGGACCTGATTTCTCAGTTCTTCCACCTATCTCGAGGCCGAAAGGGGTCCAGGGATAGGCCCGGGACGCTTGGGAACGGCGGCTGCTCCGGTGGGGACCCACTCCCAAGCATCACCACACCCGGACTAACATCCCGCGAGCGCCGCCAGCCTGACCGGCGGGGGCGGGGCCCGGGCCCGCCTGGTCTCCCTGGTGACGGCCGCGCGGAAGAGGTGGGGCCACGGCCCGGGTTTCCACTGCCTGGCTTCCCCGGGCCATGGCCAGGAGCTGCGGCCTCCGAGGGTCTGCCAGAGGTAGCACAGAAGAGGTGGTGCCAGGGGCCGTCAGTGCTGGACTGAGTAACCAGCCGTGGGGACTGCGGCAGAACTGGGCGGTCTGTGGAGGCGGGAGGGCGGGGGCGACCCCGCCCCAGGCGTCCGCTGGTCTAGGGTAGATCCTGCACCCTGACCAGTCGTCCCGCGCAGGTCTCAGCGGGGCATCGCGGCGCGGGCAGGCTGAGTCCCGTGACTCCCCGTCGCTGTGGGAGATGGTGGAGGAGCATGTTCCCCTTCCAGAGCGGCCTGAAGTGAAGAGGATTCTGGGGGAGGCGGCGGTGGACCTGAGCCTGGAGCTGCGGGCGGAGGTGGGGAGTGGGAAGGGCCACGCCCAGGCCTGGCCCACGACTCGCGGGATTTCCCACCTGCCGGTCCCTGGCCCTGCCGGATGACCCTCGAGAACTTGTCTCAGTCTTCCCGCGTCCTCTCTTTTGTTTAGTTCCCCCCTTCCCCATCACCCCCGTCCTCCCTGATCAGGCGCAAAGTGTCCCAGGTCTGCCTTGCAGGTGGCGATGCTGCGGGCACTGCTCCAAGAATCGCGGTCCTCCCAAGACCCCGACTCCCACCCCATCTCTGATCCCTCCTCCCTTCTGGCACCACCGCCCCATCTGAGAGAACTTGTGCGCCAGGAACTCCGGCAGCTGCTCCAAGGTCTCCAGCAGAAGGCCATCCGCGAGGGAAGGTGGGAACCTCAGTCCTGGGCCCCTTCCCCAGAGCTTTCCTGTCTGTGCCCCTTCCCCAGGGCTTTCCTGTCTGTGCCAGAGGTTTCCTGACAGGGGCCCCGGTGTCCTACATTTGCGCTTTCTGCAGGGACCAGGCCCAGGCATGGGCCCAGTACAGCCCCAGGGTCGTTCGCTTTGCCTTGGAGTCCAGGTGTGACTTGCCAGAACAGATGTTCCAGAGGAGAGCTGGTGAACTCAGGTGAAGTGGCGGTAGAGGAGGAGGGATCTGCCTCTGGTCTTAGCCAACTGGTAGGTTCCACCTGTCTCCACGGAGGGAGATGCTTGATTTTTTTCGTTTTTTTTCTTTTTTTTTTTGGAACCCAAGGTTGAACTCAGGACCTTGCACTTTCGAGGCAGGTGTGGTGCCACTGAGCTAAATCCCTGGCCCAATGCTTGTTTTTGAGTCAAGATCTTCCTATGAAGTTCTGGCCTTGAACTCACTATGTAGCCCAGGCCCTCAAACTCGCAGTGATCCTCCTGCCTCAGCCTCCTAGAGTGCTGGCCGACACACCAGCCTGGGACACTTGTGATAGGGATCTGCACATGAAGGCTGCAAAATCCCCCAAGGAGACAGACATGTGCCCAGCCTGGAGGCAGCAAGGCTTTCTGGAAAGAGTAATTTAATTTGGGTCTTGAAGTATGAGGAGCAGTTTCTCAGGCAGATGAAGGAGAGAAGGGCTTTTCGAGAACAGGGAGGACAGAAGGCCATGTCCAGTGGGCAGTTGTTCCTCAGGCCTGGAGAACAGACGTGGGGGCTGGGCTGGAAAGGCAGGGAGAGCTGAGGGGAGAGAGCAGCAGATGGTATTTACAGGTAGGGATTGAATGACATAAACAAATAAGAGCATGTTCATAAGAAGTGGGTGGCAGCAGCGTCTTCCAGTCTTCATACAATGTGATAAAGCTGGGTGACATCCCCATTTTGTAAATGAGAAAAACTGAAGCTCAGAAAGAGCAGTTTGTCCACGGTCACACTCAGTGAAGGGCAGCAAAGCCCATTTCCAAGCCAGAATTCCCACTGTTTGTATTTTATTATGTTGCCTTTGTGGGAAAAGACACGAAATTATCAAGAAGTGGCATCTGTGTGCCGAAGGCCTGAGGTGAGCAACACGGGGAGAGTGATGTTGATTTCCTCTGCCAGCAGCAGTCACAGGGAACTCAGTGTCATCAAGGACCAGCTGAGTATTTCCAACATTGACCAAGTTGCTGGACACCTGAGGTGAGGCCCGGGGGCACCTGAGTGTGTGCCAGTGGGGAAACAGGGCTGTGTGCCCAGGTGCTAGTACTGACTGAGAAGGGAGGCAGCATGCGGGCGAGGGCAGACCCATGTGTGGAAGGGGGGTTGCTGCAGCCAAATATGATGGGGGGCGGGTGTCAGGGCCCTAGGGTTTTATTTTTATTTTTTACCATTCTGGGGGTTGAAACGAGAGCCTTTACACTGACCTACATCCCCAGCCCCTTTTTGTTTTAGTTTGAGACAGGGTGTCGCTAAGTTGTGCAGATTGGCTAGAATTTACAATAAAGTTCAGCTTCCCTGAGTGATAGGGCTACAGGTGTGCACCACCACGCCCAGCTTGGGCCATAGAATTTTGAAACCTGATGCAGGGGGGAGCCATAGGAAGCAGGGGAAGGGCTCTGATATGGCAGGAGTCGCAGGCCCCCTGCAGTAGTGCAGAATAGGGCCGGGGATTTACCTGAGTGGTTCTGCTGCCTGCCTCACAAGCGCAAGGACCCAAATTCAATGCCCAGCACCAAAAAAACCCCACCAAAAACAAAACAAAACCCAAATTGCAGAAGAGAAGATGTTGCCTGCTGGGGTGGGCAAGAGGACATATTCTGCCTAGAAAGAGACTGGTAGGGGCCCTGATAGCTGAGCTAGGGCAGCAGAGGGCAATGCTGGCTGAGAAAGGAGGGGTTGAAGGGAGCCTGGTGAGGCTGGAGGTTGAGGCTGAGTGGCAGGTGCAGCTGTCTGGGGCCTGTGGCACTGGTTCAAGCTGGGTGCTACCTCATACCCCAGGGGCCGCCTGGAGGAGGAGTGTCGCACCTTGGAGAGGGAGATCTCCACCCTGCAGGTGAGTGGAGCCCTGGGCCTTCTCGAGAGCTTCTGTGCCTCATGTGGGGCTCTGAGCCGATGCAGATATGAGTCTGTCTGGGCATATACCTGCGTGTCAAGGTTGTGTGAGTCCTATGCCCCCTTCTCACGTGCACACACGTGTGGAGGGTGTTTGTGAAACCCTAGAAGCCCCGGCTCAGCAGTTTTAGATTAACCTGCTGTATTGCCCCAGGCCCTTTCCTCCTTCCCTTACCTGAATCCAGGGGCACGGCCCACAGCATTGGCAAACTTAGTTTTCATCCGGAGGACTGGTGTTCCCTCTGGGGGTTGCCTGCATGGGGGCTGGGCTGCGGGGCTGCACGGACTTGTTCCTGGGCCCTGCACTAGGGATCTTGGTCTCTGCCTGCAGCCTGGGCCACTGACCCCCTCTCCCTGCAGTACTGCCTGGAAGCTGAGGCTCACCAGTCCTCCAAAGCAGCCCTAGAGCCCACCCTGGCAGGTGAGGAACCTCAGCAGGCCCCAGAGCACCTGGCTTCTGCCCCCACCCCACATTGGGCACATGTTGGAAGGGCTGTCTCAACTGTGTCCTCAGAGCTAAAGGAGCAAAAGAAGGCCATGGAACAGGAGCTGCAGGCCCCTCTGGCCCCTTCCTGCATCTCCCCCAAACAGAGGTAGGGCAAAGCAGGTAGCCAGTGGGTGGGATGGGCTGAAGGGTCAGGCCATGGCTCCCTCACAATTACTTCTTCCTGTCCAGGCAACAGCCCTTGGGGTCCTCTTTTCGGCACCTTAGACCCTGTCCTTGCCTCCGTGGGGCTGCTGGAACTTGGGCCAGGCCTCCCCGAGGCTACCTTCCTACACCTCCTTTGGAGCAGTGTCCCCAGTCTCGAGGCCCGGCCACCACCCACTGCTGGGGACGGCAGCTTCGGTGCAGCTGTCGGGAAGGGCCAGCTTCCACACCAGTGTCCAGTGCTGTGCCCCAGGCCTCAACCTGAAGTAGGCTTCTGCTTCTGCTGGAACTTGCCCTATCTGCTGCTGCCACCTCTCAGCTGCCATGGCCCTGCCAGCTTCAGGTCTAGTCCTGCATGAGCTCTCACCAGAGTCTGAAGGCTGTTTGTGTGTCTGGCCCTTGCCCCACCCCCTTGCCGGTCCCTGGTGTCTAGGGGTGAGTGGCTGAACTGGCAAAGCCTTCAAACTTTCTCCTCCAAGGCCACCACAAAGGCTTGGCCGACAGACGTCTCATCCCAGCCCTGACTTTTGTCCCCCAGGGGACCCAGACAAAGCACAGCAGCACCTCAGACAGGAATAGAAATTTCATTAAAATCTATGGACTTTAAAATCCTAGTGGTGCATGGATGGGCAGGGCGGGTGGCGCACCATTATTGCTACAGAGGATTAGAGGTGGCTTGGCCAGTGCTGTCACTGCACAGAGGGCACAGAGGACAGACAAACAGACACTTCAGGGCTTGGGTGACGGAGCTCTAGCTCTGGAGAGGGGTTGGGTCACAAGGCCTGGGGCCATTTGGCACATGAACAAGGGCAGCACATCTGGGAAGACTGGAAGACTGGGCCTTTAGCCTGATGGAGGGAGGGCAAATGGTGTCCTGCCGGGTCCCCTTCCCCAGGGCTATTGGCTCAAACCTGCCGAGCAGCCTCCACCCCTGCCTTCCAGAAATAAGTGCTTTGGGCAGGCTGCTGGGTGACAGCCTCTGCTGGCTGGGCCTGACAGCCAGGGCTGGAATGAGGGGTAGAGACCCTGGAGCAGCCAAGTGAGGTGCAAGCAGGCCTGGAAGACAGATCGGACCCGAAGCCGGGGGAGGGCTGGCAACCACAGATAACACAAGTTTTACAAAAATAATCATACAGATAAACAGGGCTTGGTGGGACAGCCTGACAAGTAGCACTGCAGCCCCCAGCCCCTTACTCTGCTTCAGGTAGTAAGCAGGTAGGAAGCAGACTTTCCTAGGCAGAGGCTGGGGTCTGTCCGGGGGCAGGAACACTGGTCATGAGGCTGGAGGCCCAAGGAGAGAACAGGTGGGGGGCCAACCCAGAACCTCAACTGGGGGCAGAGTGTGAGGCTGTCAGGGACCACGTAAAGCCTGGTAGGCTTCCCGGGACCTGGCCCAAGACCCCTCAAAAGTGCTTTGGCCCCCGCAGCAATCCTCCCACTGCCTCGCCACCCCCAGCTGCTGTCTTGGCATCCAAAGGACATGTAAACACTGGGGACACGAGCACAAATGACTGCACTAGCAGTGGTGGCCAAGGTGACAGCAGCCGTCCTGGCTGGGGTGTGACAGAGGGCAGGCAATAACACCTGTCCACTGCCTCCCCAGTCTCTGTGGCAGGAGCATGGGATGGGGTGGGGCCACTCCCCTGGCAGCTGCACTCATATCCGGGAGTCCTGGAGGCGGCTCGAGCCATTACTGCCCACCATGGGGATCTGGGCCTTGTCTGGGTGCAGTGGCTGGACTTCAAAGCCGTCTTCAGGGGAAGGGGCTATGGTGGGGGCGTAGCACCCAGTCCGGTGCTCCAGGAGCGCAGGGCCCCAGTCTCTTCTTGGCTTTGTGGCATTTTTCAAACGCTGCAGGAGAGAGGTACACTGAGTCAGAAGGGAGCCCTGGGGCCCATCTTCTCCACCCTTCATTTTGCCTGGATGCCCAGCCTCCTCCCAGCCCTCACCTGGAGGAAAGTGTCCCCATCTGTGCAGCAGAGTTTGAACAGGGCGTAGAGAGGGATGCAGATGACGGAGGACAGGGCCATGAGGAAGCCGATGGCCACGGCCCAGCCTGGGTAGCGGTACTGGTTGTAGGTGATTGGCCGGTACTGGATCACCGTGAATATGAGAATGAACTGCAGGAGTGGGGAGGGAGTGGGGATGAGGCTGGCCCAGAGCCCCTCCCAGACCCCAGCCCTCCTTCCTACCGGCTCCCACACCTCTCCAGGTTCCTAAGGGAGAAAGAGGCAGTTGGGGCAGGGCACTGGCAACTGACAACACCTGCAGTAGAAGAAGCAGGTGGAACCAGGGGCCCAAATCATGGTGGGCAAATGGGAAGGGAGTGTTCTTGCCATAGTCCTAAACTGGCCAGAGAATATTCTAGATGCTGCCACCTTTGGAAGCCAGTCCCAGACTCAAATGGTGCCATGCTGCATTACTGAGGTGAAGCCAAATCCTCAGCCCCAGACCTTCTCCTGGCAACATGCCTTGCTGGCCATATTACCCCTGGCTCAATGACTCGGTTACACCATCACTTCCCTCCCTCTCTTCCTTTCTTTGGGGAATCACCCTCTGTATTTTCTTCTGTCAGACCCTGAACCAACACCATCTTGAGGAAGCCCGTCCAGATTTTCATCTCCTGAAGGACCCATCCATGGCCCTTTCCATCTGCTTCCCCCAGTTTCTGTTTTGTGTTTCTCACAGACCTGGGAGCTCCTGGGATGGCATCAGTTCTGGGTCCTTGTGCCCTGTGAAGTACCTGGCACAGACTCATTTGTTGTGTAAGGTTTTTGGGGGGGAGGGGTACCGGGGATCGAACTCAGGTCCTTGTGCTTTCGAGGCAGGCGGCAGAACCACTGAGCTAAATCCCCGGCCCATCCCATTTGTTGAGTTGAACTGATTCTGAGAAATGGAGGGATGGGGGTAGGATGAAGCCCTGCCTGCCTGCGGGCTGGGGAGATAGTGACATTCAGTCTAGAAATGGGAAGCTTAAAGAAAAAAAGAAAGGGGAAGCTTTGGACTGCAGATGCTCTAGAGAGCCTCTCTGGAAAGAGATGGGTATGACAGGAAGTAAAGTCTGTGGCTGCAGCAACACAAAATGCTACAAGGAGCAGCGACTTGGGCAGGTGGCAAGTGGGGTGCTTTGCCTTCCAGGAGTGCTCAGCATCATCCTTCTGTATCTTGGAGCTCAGGTTAGAGCTTCTGGCTTTCCTTATGACCAAATTCTAAAATTCAAAACCCATATCCAGACTGAGAGGCCCTGCTGGGATGCTGTACATAATGGGAGCAAATAAGAAGTTTCCTTGAGCCAGATGTGGTGGCCCACACCTGTAATCCCAGCACTTGGGAGGCTGAGGCAGGAGGACTGCCACGAGTTTGAGACCAGCCTAGATTACATAGTGAGTTCAAGGCCAGTCTGAAGGACATAGCAAGACCCTGCCTCAACAAACAAACAAAAAACAAAAATAAAAAGTTTCCTTAATGAAACTAGAGCCTGATCTATGTGTAGACAAATCCCCTCATTGAGCTCACAGAATGACAGAGTTTGTCAGAAAGAGCTTTTCAGAAATAAAGCCCCCAAAGAGAGCATGCCAGCCCGGAAACAGATATGTCCCTAGAGCCTGCAGTCCTTGCTTTAAGCTAACTACTGCTGGACTCTCTGGGCATAGGAAGGTCCCTGCCCAGGCCCAAGGAGACACCAGACCCAGGCCATGGATGCCCTGACAGGCCCTTTTAGTGTCCATCTCTTTCCTGCCTCCTGGCCTGGTAGGTGCCCTCAGGTCTTTCTAGGGAAGGAGTCCAATCTGAGTCCTGGGAGGCTGAGCTGAGCTCAAGTGGGGCCTGGGCCTGAGTCTGCCACACCCACACCAGGCTCGATGCTGCTGTAATGCCTGGCCTCCCTGGTCTCCCATCCCTGAGGGGAGACTTCTGCTCTTCCTGTTTCAGAGCTGGGTCAGTGGCCACAGCTGGTGTCTGAGCCAGGCTTAGGAACCTCCCATCCCCATGTGGTGGAGGCCTCAGCCCTCCAGGGGCCTTTTCTTCAGCAATATGATCCAGAGTAGAATCCAGGGCCAAGCTCTCTGTGGTATCGAGGAGTAGAGAATTATGGGGGTTGACTCGGGACACCACCCTTGTCAGTGGGTGACCTCTCTTGTCACTCAGAGGTATTCCTGCCACTTCTCTGTGTAGTTACCCTTACACAGTCAACCCACCCCTAACCCTGGCTTCCCACTTGGAACAGAAGACATAAATGAGACGGATTTTAGCCCTCAGGCCATTCCTCCTAACTATAGCACAGTGTCTATGTCACACTGGCACCTGGCACAGCAGGCAGGCTCCAAATTGGGCCACTGGTTCCACATTGTGGCTCTCCTCATTAGCTGTGCGACCCAAGGCATTACTTAGCATCCCTGTGCCGTAGTTTCCTTACTATAAAATGGGGGAAGCACTGCTAGCTCGGAGAGTTGTGTTACACGAGATAATAAGTGAACAATGTGCAGAAAGTGCCTTGCCATGGTGGAGGGGGTCCTCCCATCACTCAGCTCTCTGATGGGAGTTTCCATCATGGAAATGGGGGACTCCCCCTCCCAAGCCAGCTCACTGCCTTCAGAAGCTGCCCACAGGCAGAGCTGACGTTCCTAATCCTGAGTCCACAGGTCCTGGCGCTGCTTCTGGAACGCTGTTTCCTACATTCACATGCACATGCGCATTCACACACATAGCATAGCCTGCTCTGTGAGCGCCCCCTCTAAGAGGAATTGGGAGCAAAAGCAGTGGGAGACAGTGACACTGGTATCAGTGACTCCTGAGGCCCCGGGGAAGCTGAGCAGGACTGCCAGAAAGGTGGGCTGACTCACTGGAGTTGCTGGCAGGCCCTGTCCCTCTCTGGGCAATGTCTTCAGTCAAATTTGGGGCTCAACATTCTTCTCCTAACCTGTGACCAGGGCCTGGAGGCTCTGAGTGGCACAAGCCTATCTGACTTATGGAATTTTCCTCCCACCCTGCCAGAAGGCTGGCTGGATTTGTGGGTGGGGTGTTCTGGCCAGGCGGACGGGCTCCTGCTCACCCTCTGGTGTTTCCACGAAAATAACACGGGACTCTGGGAGAGCAGGGGGTGGGAGGGCCTCGGGAGAACTTACAAAGATGATAGCTGGAGAGACAAAACGCCAGCAGATCTGGAAGAAGAGGGGCGGTGGGAACCCCAGCATCATCTGGATGTCCTGGAAGTAGCTCCTGTGCCCTGGAGAGAACAGGGTCAGCAGGCCCAGCAGGACAGGGTGGCCCAGGCAGGAACCGGGACCCACAAGGTCATGGAAACTCGGGGACTTACCATAGATGTACATGATGGACACACACATGATGCAGGAGATGACAACCAAGGAGAAGCTGGCCGCATAGTTGTCCATCAGCAGCAGCCAGTACATGCCTGCCTGTGGGCCAGCAGGCAGCTGAGCCAGTGGTGCAGGGCCCAGGCTCCCCACCCTTCCCATGTACCCTGCCGACTGCAGCCCAGCCTTTCTCCCACTGGCTTCTCACCTGCGTGGTCAGGGGGATGCCTAGCAGGAAGCCAGCCACAGCCACAGCCAAGGTCACATAGGTCTTTTTCTGCAGGATCCACTCATTCC